CATTCATACAGCAGCCAATTATTCTGAAATAAAATGACCTTTATTCCTGAATAGAGTCCATGTAGGGAGATAATCTGGAATAGCTATTCTAGGATAGATTGTTCCACATTAGCTGTGCTAGTCAGTTTCCCTGCATAAAGAAGCATTGTGAGAATGGTTCGTTTCCTTTCCTGAATAGGAAGCCTGTTTAACTTAGCTTGTAGTAAAGCATCAGGTGCCCTAGAGGGACTAAATATTGGGGTGGCCTGTTTGGGATGTCCAAGTAACGTTTCCCTAGTGCTTTGTCACTGATCTAGGTTCTTGAAGGGAGGTTCAGGCTGCTTAAGCTGATCTAGCCCTACTTGTCAATGAGCAGCTGGTACACAAGGGACCAGTAGAAGGATTGCAAGTTGTCACCCTGAGAGAGGCAAGGACAAGAGGGCTAAGACCCGTGCTGGGCAACCTGTGACCCAAGGGCCGCACGTGGCCCATTGGGGTTCTAAGTGCAGCCCACGAAACAGTTTGTTTTCCACTGCCCACAGGCAGGGTTGCCAAATTCCGCTGATTTGTTTCCTGCTGGTGTCACTAAAGTGACACACATGAAGCTAGGTCGTGTGAAATGAGGCGCGTGCTGATTGCTCACAGCACTGACTGTAAGAACCGTGCGCTCCCTCTGCAGCCAATCAAAGCGAGGCTACGGTTCCGTTGGCTCGCCCCCCACATTCTAAGTACACCATGTGGCCCTCACTGCCCTGGGCAGCCGTGCCACGTAGGAGAAGCCGCGAGGCAGCCTACAACCACACCATCCTGGGCCAGCCCTGGGGAGGAGCATCGTAAGTCTTCTACTAATTGATAATGCTCAGCCTAAAGAGCTCCTAGCATCCTGCATGTCAATCTTTCACCCATGGCAGTTTGGAGAGGGTAGACAGAAAAGGAAGGGACATGATATTACCCAGTGGGCAGAGAACCTCTTGACTATGACAGCAGGGCCAAAGGATCGTGCAGGATTCATGGAGCAGCCGGTGAAGTAGATCTAGTGAACAGAGTTGGAGAAGAAAGTGTTAGGAGAATGGCTCTGTCTAAAGATAAATGAAGCCCAAAGGCACCTGGCGTGAGATTTGGTGCATCTCTTTGGCTGTGGCGGTTAGACATGTACCGACTCTTCCTTGCTGAGCGTTGGATTAGTTATTGCTGTCTCCTGGGCTTAGCTGGGGGATTGTCTCACACTGAGCACCTTGTACTGGGAGAGACAGGGGCCGGCATAACTAAGCTTCCCCCACCGCTAGCACTTCTGCCTGTGCTCTGAGCGGTGCTATTGGCAGGCAGCATGGCAGCGCTTGTTTTCCCCCCCCTGAAAGCCTCCCCCCCCCCCCCCAGACACTTACCCCAATGAGATGTCCCAGGGCAACGGACATGCCAATGAACGTGGCGGGGGAGTTGGAATTTCTGTGTCTGTCCGTGGAAGCAAAATAGCACAGCACCAGCTGGAAGGTGAGAATGAGCTCCACAGCCACGGCTTGTCCGGAAGTGATGTTGCTCCGCACCTGGGGAAAGGGATGGCAAAGGGACTTCTTAGGAGACCACGGCAGCCCGTCGGCTTCTGCCCGCCAGCCACACTAGGCAACGCTGCCGCCTCGCACAGTCCAGTTGCGCCTCGGAGTCTGAGGCCAGGTCCATACTACACCCTTAAAGTACACAACTCCAGCTATGCAAATAACGTACCTTAAGCCGAGCTTGGCGCTGCCTCCACAGTGGGACTGTGACGGGGGGTGGTCACAGCAGACCCCTTGGGGCTGCTTCCCAGTGGGCTGATAAAGCCTCTGCCACACATCTCCTTGCTCTCTGGGGCTTCTCACCACCCTGTCCTGCTGGGCCAGCTCTCCCCAGACAAGGCACAGAGCTGTGATCACCCCCTCCCCTCCCAAAGAGCAGAACTGACACTGAACCCCGTCAGGTCTGAGGAGAATGCAGTCTCGGGCACGGCTACCGGGAACCCAACCCCCAAATGGGATCAGAACCCCACCGAAATCATTCAGGCAAGCCCCTTTAACGGTGAAAGGAGGGCGTGCACGCTGATTGCTCCCCGACACCGGGCTTGGTAGCAAATACAAGTAATGTTATTAAGTCCAAACAGGAGGATTTAAGCGGTTGCAAGTGAACATGTAGCAGAGTAAATTACAAATGAATGGCTAGTTCTAGCACACTAAAGCAAACTTACCCTAAAACTGTTCTTATTTCAGCTAAAACTCCAAGCCAGGGAAGATTTTTTCCCCCTGGAGTCTCTGGTTATTCTCTTGGGTGTGTCATGCCAGCCAAAGACAAAGAGCCTGAAAACTTTGCATCCCAAAGACACTTTCTTTTGGGAGGGAATTCTTTTTTTCTATGTTCCACCCTTGGATGGAAAATTACCAGTTCAGATCCTACCAGTTAGGGAGGTCACATGTCTTCCTAAGACCAACCACTGCTTAGACTTAAAGAACAAAAGAGGCTGTTTACAGGTGATCACCCAGACACTGAGGTGCCAAGCACTGGAAACACCCTTGGTGGCTTTTATTTGCACATTTAAAACCATAAACCGTTCCCTACCCCATATCACTAACTTTACATACAAAAGTGATCCATTCACCAGAATTCGATATACAGACCCGGCAGATTGTGACATTACAATTGATAGGTTACATGAGGTATTTTGTCCAAAGCATTTTTGAGTTATGCATATTTGTGCCCGTAAGACAATTTCATAAAGCATGGTGGGGGGGGAGGGAGTCTGTGACAGGGAGGTCGACGGGAGCAAATTGAGGAGTATGGTGTCAACTGAGGGGGCAGCCTCAGCATTTGATTTAGCGAGTCCTTTCTAGACCCACTAAATCAAACACCAGAAGATCAATTTCCAACACAGTAAGTATGGACGTGGCCTTAAATATAACAGTCGGGGGAAGGGGCTCTTTCATGGTTTGTAGCCTTAATTTTGGAGCCGTAGGGTAGCAATTGACCAAGTGTAGGCAGGGGAGCTGAGAGTCTCGCTGGGCACTGGGCAAGGTGGAGGGGGGCAGCTTGGTGCACCCAGAAGGGGTGGGGCCTTAGATGGAAGAGGTAGGGCTGAGGGAAGCCCCCCTTCCACACCACCCAGATCACAACACATCCTCCCCAGCCTGCAGAGTTGCCCAAAGCAGGCAGCAAAGTGCTCCAAAGGTGATTTAAAGCTCCGGGCACTGCCACTACCCCAGTAACATGCCCTGGGCCCTTTGGAATTGCCGGTCCTGGAGCAATTGCTCCCTTTGCCCTCCCCTGTCGGCAGGCTTGAGTCTGGAGTGATAAGCCCAGAATGTGCAGATCAGGCATCTCCGGCAGATCGGTTACTGCTGCTCCAAAGCTTTTGTAGGCTCCCGGGGACAGCATCCCGCAGGTCCCGCTGAGGGCAATGGTGGGTTTGACGTGCACACCAGTTCAGAACCACCGGGCTGGAGGGCGCGGAGTTCTGTTGGAAATCTGTTCCTTACAGCTTTCCTGCTAGGGTGCTGGGGGCCCAAAAAGTGGAGAGGCAGGCAGGTTCTCCTGCACCTCACACCCACTCAGCTGGGAATACAGGGAAAGGATTTGCAATCTGTCCCCAGCAGGAACACCGCGATGTGGAGTCCTCTAAATTGTTCTGGTGAATCTCTTCCTCATGTGCAATAGTCACAGTAATAAATGCCCAACCCTTTGCTAATCACTTCGGGTATGTCTACACTACCACCCTAGTTCGAACTAGGACGTACCCTTCCATTAGCCGCCCCTTTGGCTTGATTTAAACAGCCCCAGACCGCTGAGGTCTCTAGTGTGACTTTGTCTGACCTGTATCTAAACCCCTGCCTGCACTAGGCAATCACTTCCAGCTGGTCACGAGGCAGGTTTCACTGCAGAGCTCAGCCCATTTGTGTTTCCATCCGGAGCAGATGGTGGGGATTTCTAGCACAGCCCCCTTCAGTTCACGCCTACCACAGCGCTGGGCTCCAAACTAAATTACAACATAATTCCGCTTGGTTGGAAGGTTTTTTTTTCCTGCAGCAGAGTGCAGGTCCGGATTGAGGGGCCGAGAGAACATAAGAACGGCCACACGGGGTCAGACCAAAGGTCCATCTAGCCCAGGATCCTGTCTGCCGACAGTGGCCAATGCCAGGTGCCCCGGAGGGAGTGAACAGAACAGGGAATCATCAAGTAATTCCTCTCCTGTCACCCATTCCCAGCCCCTGACAAACAGCGGCTAGGGACACCATTCCTGCCCATCCTGCTTATATACATTGATGGACCTAACCTCCATGAATGTATCTAATACTTTTTTTAACCTGTTAAAGTCCTGGGCTTCACAACATCCTCTGGCAAGGAGTTCCACAAGAAGAAATTCCTTTTGCTTGTTTTAAACCTGCTACTTATTAATTTCATTTGGTGACCCCTAGTTCTTATGTGATGGGAACAAGTAAATAACTTTTCCTTATTCGCTTTCTCCAAACCGGGCATGATCGTATAGACCGCTATCATATCCCCCTTAGTCTCCTCTTTTCTAAGATGAAACATCCCAGTCTTTTAAATCTCTCTTCATATGGCAATCATTCCAAACCCCTAATCATTCTGGTTGCCCTTTTCTGAACTTTCTCCAATCTTTTTTGAGATGAGGCGATGACATGTGTTCACACTATTCAAGATGTGGGCGTACCATGGATTTATACAGAGGCAATAAGGTATTTTCTGTCCTATTCTCTATCCCTTTTTAAATGATTCCTAACATTCTGTTTGCCTTTTTGACTGAGGCTGATGATTGAGTGGATATTTTCTATGAATTATCCACAATGACTCCAAGATCTCTTTCTTGAGTTGTTACAGCTAATTTTGTATGTATAGTTGGGATTATGTTTTCCAATGTGCATTACTTTGCAGTTATCAACATTAAAATTCACTTGCCATTTTGTTGCCTAGTCACCCAGTTTTGTGAGCTCCTTTTGAAGCTCTTCACAGTTGCTTTGGTCTTGAACAACTTAGTATCATTTGCAAATTTGGCCACCTCACTGTTTACCCCTCTCTCCAGATTTATGAATATGTTCAATAGGATGGGTCCTAGTATGACCCCACTAGTTATCTCTCTCCATTCTGAAAACTGACCATTTATTCCTACCCTTTGTTTTCTATCTTTTTACCAGTTATCAACCCATGAGAAGACTGTCCTTCTTATCTCATGACAGCTATGTAAGTGACACCACTCTGTCAGCACAGATCTATATATTAACCCAAGCCTGGACCACCTCCAGGTTATCACTTGTACCCTGTGCTGCTGGTCTAGAGGTTGCTAGGGTGGGGCTAGAACCTGCTAGCCTCAGCTCCCCAGGCAAATGCCCTATCACCTGAGCCAGGCAGGAGCCCACCCCCATTGCCCTACATGAGGGTGAGGAGTCGAGCTGCCCCCCATCCAACATGACCAGCTTGGTGATGGATGCACATGTCACCCTTGGGACGTAGGACAGATAAGAGACGGGAAGACGTGGTTTGGATGTTTTCAAATACCTGGCTTATGGCAACGTTAAAGCCCATTCAGTTTCCTCAGCACTACCAAAAAAGAGGGATGGGAAACTCACCGTGTTAATGCCAAAGCTTCTGTGCACCTCTTCTGGTGTCACTCCATACAGGGTGGCTGCGCCAGCGATGCCTCCAGCCAGCTGCGCAACCATGTAGCAAGCTGCTCTTGCAAAAGAGATGCGAGAGCCAAGCAGGAAGGCCAGAGTCACAGCTGGGTTGAGAAGAGCACCACTGACGTGCCAGGCAATATGCACGACGGTCGCTGCAGCCAAGTTGAAGGTGATTGAGATCTGTAAGATGGTAGGCAGGGCCGAGGGCCAGGGGAGGACTGAGCCCAGGCCGAAGAAGACGTAGATGGAGGTGGCTAGAAACTCGGAGAAGACAGCCCGGTAGAAGGTCACAGACAGCACTTCCTTCCACATTCTCTCATGAGCCCAAGAGTGAGACGGACAGACAGGGCTCCTCTGACCCTGGAGCTCCTTTTTATTGGAAGGCATGGGAGGAAATGCTAGGTAAGCAAGTAAGTTTGTAAAACTGGGCAGGACCAGGAAATCTAGAACCTGGAAATGCATGGAAGGAGTGAGGAGTGAGTCAGACCTGCCCAGTTCAGCACACACCGGTACTCCTCCTCTCTCCCCCTCTTCCTGTGCTGGATTTCACTCAAATTCTGAACCTCAGAAATGAGTGTGTGCTGTCACCGCCGTGTAATTTGGGCAGGGCAGATAGGCTCCTGGAATCTCTCTCACACACACCCACCCCATCGCCCACCCCATCACAGGGGCTGTGGGGATGGACAGTTGGAGGATATGATAGTGGGGATTGGGGTGAGTGAACGGAGGAGCTGAAGATGGGGGGAGACCATATGAAGGTGGGAGCCTTGTGGATATGGGGCGTTTTGTAAGTTTGGGGTTCAGGGCAGGGCAGCAGGGTGGCTGGGTTTGATGGCTGGGGGAACCCTGAGAGAAATATGGTTGGGAGTCCCTGGCTGGGCATTATGAAGTGGGCTGCTCAGGAAGGTATATGGGTATGGGGCAGTGAGGTGGGATGGTGTGGCATGGTCGGGGGGGGGAGGGGATTAAGGATGGACCCAGCCATGTAGGAGTTGTGGAGAAATGGGGGAGTAAGAGTAGGGGGATTGCGGGACCTAGGGTGTTCAGTCAGGTTGGGGTGACTGGGGGGTGGGGTCCCCTTGCGATGGGGGGTTTCCTGGGCTGGCTAGAGCAAGGAGGGTTGGCAAAGGACTCAGGAGGGGGTAGCTGGCAGCATGGGCAGGACTGGGAAGCCCATGGGGATTTAAGAGGGTTGTGGGGAGACCCAGGGAATGGAGGGGAAGCAGGAGGTTGGGAGGGGAGATTTCACGCTGGAGATTTAACTCACAATACGCTGGGGTCTGTTTGGGAGCAGCATGCCGGAGGTCCAGGGTACAGACCGCAACTCCTGCGATGCCTTTGGTGGGATCTGGAGCTAGTAATCAGGAAAGACCTGATGGGAAACTTTGGGAGGGGAGAGGGAGGAAAAAGTCTGTTTGGCTTTAAGTAATAAAGGGATAAAGTTTGCAAGACATTTGTCTTCAGCGTCAGCTAATCAAAGTAATCTTTACATCCTCAATCCTAGCGTTGCTGTTTTCTGAATCACATCACCCGCCCTCAAGCATTTGCATGGTTTCCCAGAATCACTGCTGTCGCAAAGCCCTACAGTGCCCTGACGCAAGAACAGACTAGGGACCGCATCAGAATTCCAGGCCACTGTCCCCCAAACCCACAGGCACCCAGCATCCCAGCCCCCAGCCTTCCCCCGCTCCCCCCACATCCTCCTTTTCCTCCAACTCATTTATGCCCCATAACACCCACTCCCACAGCGCTCCCCACAGCTCAGCCAGAACTCACTGCACCAGCTCCTCCTGCCCCACCCTCCGGACCCTCTGACTATTCCTCTGTCACTCACGCGAGACCCAGCACTTTACGCTCATCCCAGACTCCTGCTCCTAGCTCCCCACAGCCCAGCCCCCAAGCCTGAGTGATGAATGGCATTGCCACCTGGTACACGGGCTTGTAGTGCCACTCACCTTTGGCCTGGACAATTCTCCATCATAATGATGGCCAGTTGGGACACATTTGAGCGGCTTTGTGGCTCCATGCCCCACAGTCATATTAAGCCCCATTGCCCCCTATCATGCCAAAGACGGGGGGGGGGGAGCCAAATTTGAATGAGTGGCATTGAGAGTGGAGTTCTGGAGCGTTGCTCCAGCTGGTTGGGGTCCTGGCACAATGGCACCACTGGCGCATGGTAGCTACCCCGCTGCTCAGAATGCAATCCCCTTTTCTGCAGCGGTAAAGCCGAACTAAACCTTAGGGTCCATGTCCCACTGTGCCTGAGCTCTGGGAAATCGCTCTAAGAAGTGAAGAGTCGCTGTGGGGAGAAATGAAACCTTCCCAAGTGTGAGAAATGCAAGCACAGCCGCCCGGTTTCATCATAAGAGAACCAGGAAGCAAGCTAAACCCTGGAGCCAGTTTGCTTCCGGATTCTCTGCTAACTCAAGTGCTGCTGTGCGAAGGGTTTTCCCTTCCAGCTCCCATGTTTTCACCACACCATCCCGGCAAGTGAGATTATTTGTAAGAGGAAACAACGCTAATGCTCCTACCAAAATCCCAACCCCAGAGGAGCCCGGGTCCTTATTCTAAGAGATTCTCTTTTGATTTTGGCTGGAGCCCCTCTGCCCACTCCAACCTGGGAATGTGCCAAGCCCATCACCACTCACAGGCACAGAGCGGGTAAACAAATGACCTTTCGTGGGAGAAGAGGGGGTTGGAGGAAAAGGAAAGGCAGGTCGGACTGGGGCGATTATTTACACTTTTATGTCTTCCACTGCCCAGTCCCAAACAATTTGACATTAAATGGTTGCTGCAATTAGCCTCACACTCGCCCACAACCTCTCTGTAACAGAATCCACCCCCGTATGCAAATGCCACAACCCGTTCTAATAACTGTTACCTAAAATATGCGTTTGGAGCTGTGAGATGCAAGCTGGGGCTCAGGGAAAGGGTAGGAAAAGGGGTTAGGGGAACAGATTGGGTTAGGTTTGGAAAGGGTAGAGTGGAGGGACTGGGTTAGAGTTTGGGGTTAGGGTAAAGGTTTAATGTTATGGGTTGGGGTCAGGATAAGGGTTAAGGTTAGGTTGAGGGGATTAGGGTGAGATAAGGTTAGGTTAGGAGTTAGGGTGAGGGTTAATGGTGAGGATTTAAGGGGGAGGGGTTTAGAGTGAGGGTTGGGGACAGGATTAAAGTGTAGGGTTAGGGCAGAATTTAGGAGTTAGGGTTACGGCGGGGTTTAGGGTGAATGTTGGGGGTAGCGTTAGTTTAGGATTTTGCTTTGGGTTAGAGTTGGGATGGTTAGGGTTCAGGTCAGGATCAGGGTCAGGATGAGGATTTGGGATTAGGGTGAGGGATGGTTTAAGGTTAGGTATGCGTTAGGGTTAGCACTTATGGATACTGTTAGGATTAGATTTATAGTTAGGGTTTGGAATTAGATTCAGGTTGAGGGTTAGGTTAGGATTTAGGATGAGGGACTAGGTTCAGGTTTATGGATTCTTGTGAGGGTGTAGGATTAGGGTTCAGGGTTGGGTTAGCTTTATGGGTGAGTATAAATGTAGGTTTAAGGGTTAAGGTTTAGATTTAGGGTTCCAGTTGGATTTAGGTTTAGAGGTTAGGTTTAGCATAGAGGTTGGGTCAGGGTCTGGCAAAGGTTAGGGTTGAGGGTGAAGGTCAGAGTTAAGGATTAGGGTTTAGCATTAGGGTTAGAGTTAGGTTTTAGTTTAGGGTTTGGGGTCAGAGGTTGAGGGTAGGATTAGGGATAGGGTTAGACCAGGGGTCTCTAACCTTTTTAAGCTCAAGATCACTTTTTGAATTTAAGTGCAATCCAAGATCTACCTCCCTCCCAAATACCCTGGCCCCACCTCCTTTATGTCCCTTCTCCGAGGTCCTGCCCCTGCTCACTTCATCCTCCCTCCCACCCCTATTCTCCCTCCCTTTCATCAGTTGGGCAGAGGGTTGCGACGCGGGCTCTGGTCTTGGGCTAAGTGATTTAGAGTGTGAGAGGGGCTCTGAACTGAGCCTGGGGCAGGGGCTTGGGGCACAGGATGGGGTTCATGACTAGGGCAGGGGACTGGCGCTGGCTCCAGATGGACACTGCTGACCTCAGGTGGCTCCTGGGTGGTGGTGCAGTGGGGCTAAGGAAGACTCACCCCTGCCCTGGCCTACTGCAAGTCCTACTCTGTCTCCTCTTTGCTCTGTGGAGATATTCTACAGGAGGGGAGAGGGGCACCCTGACGTAAGCACCCTCCTCTCCCTTCCCTGCTCTGTACTGCAAGCAGGAGGCTCCCGGAGAGGGGCAGCTCCAAGGTAAAGGGTGGGGGGTGTGCAACTGTGCGGGGAAGGGCAGATGAAGCGCTGCACTTGGTAGCCTCTTGGGCCATGGCGCCTGCGGGCACCGCGTTGGGGACCACTGAGTTAGGGGATGAGGGTTCAGGTTAGGAGTTAGGGTTGGGATAGGGGTAGGGTTAGTTTTAGGGGTTAGGGTTAGGGTAGGGGCCTGGGTGGGTGTGGGGGTTAGGGGTTAGTGTTAAGGTTGGAGGATTATGCTTAGCATTTGAGTTACATTTTGGATGAGGGTTTATGGGGCTAGGGTGTTGCACAGGGTTAGGGCTAGATTTGAAGGTTAGGGATTAGGGTTTATGTGACAGGCTGCATCCCAGAGGTCCCTTTGGTGCTAATCATATCACTGAGACCACCTACCTGCCCTCTGGGGTGCCCTGCTGGGCCAGAAGCTCTAATCCCCCAGCAAAGGCACAGAGTTGGGGTGACAGCCCCCTAACGGAGTAACAGACACTGAACCAGCTCAGTTCTCAGAGGGCTCAGCATTAGGGACTTGGCAGCACCCCAGAGAGGACCAAACCCCCAGATAAATCCATTGTACGCTGTAGAAAAATATTGCACAGAGAAGGCTCATCGAGTTTGCTCTCTATCAATCAAAGCGAGAGGTTGCACAACTGTTCCTCTTGCGCTCGCCCCATAACAATTATTTACATTGGGTTTGATAATAAACAAAAGTGTCTTTATGAAAGCGAGTGCAAGTGAAAACAGACAGGTCAATGTAAGTTACTAAGCCAAAATAAACAAACCTCCCAGCTAAGCCTAACACACTACGGGAAGTTGTTACAAAACTTATTCCTCAACATAGCTCTTATCTCAGATGCGGTTCTTCACAAGCCAGAGCTAATCTTTTCTCTGGCCTGGATCTAACAGCCTCTTCTGTGCCCTCTTAGGGTGGGTGAGGCAGTTTCAAAGGCCAGCTGAAGATGACGCAGACTGTTTCGCATTCCTTAAATGGAATTTCCCAAGGGCGGGAACCTTTTGTTTAACTCTCCCCAGGGAAAAATACCAAATTCAAGGTGGATTCCAGCTCCCGGGGGCATGGTCCAGGTCTTAGTATAGGGGTGGGCAATCATTTTTGCAGTCGGGCCTCTTACTGAATTTTGGTACATGGTCATGAGCTGGCTCTACCCCTGGAAGGGGCGGGGCAGGGGACTAGACTCTCCCCAGAGTTGTCTGGGGCCCGAGGCTTTTACTTAAAATCACAGCAATGGGAGTTGCAGCTCACGGCCCCACTGCTACCTGGTTGCCTGGCAACCACCCAGAATCGCTGCTCTATTTAAAGGGCTCCCAGTCAGGGTGCTGCCCCGGCAGGGGCCAGAGCTGTGAGCTTTTTAAACAGCTGCAGAAACCCCGGGCAGCTGCCAGGCAACGCGGTAGCAGCAGGACTGGGAGCTGGGAGCCCCTTAAATAGCAGCAACTGTGTTGCCTCGCTGACATCCTGAGTTGCTGAGGCTGTTTGAAAGGCTCATGGCCCTGGCCTCTGCTGGGGTAGGGCCACAACCAGGAGCTGGGAGCCATTTAAATAGGATCCTGCTGCTTGGGACACTGCCTGGAAATTCAGGAAATAAATAAGAAGCAGGAAATAAATAGGAAATGGCCAGATGCACTCCATGGGCCAGACCCAAGTGTTAGGCGGGTCGGATCCGGGCCCTAGGCCACATCTTGCCTAGCCCTGTCTTAGTAGGACCAAGCACCGTTTGGGCTCACAGGGAAAACAAAGCCATTTATAGATCACTGTCCTGAGCCCCTAAGTACCTTTGAATGGCTCTTGCTAGAAATTCTAGATTAATACGCAGGGTTAAACATCATATTTCTCACTTCACATACCAGAATGATACATGCACACCAATAGAATATACACGCGCGGGGCTCACAGGCACTTGAATGATGGGTTACTTGACCTGTTTTGCGTAAGGCATGTTTGAGTTATGCACATTCATTTTCAGAAATGTATTTTCACGAAACTATGAAGGCGTCACACCTCTCCCCTAAGTTCACGGTGAAAGGGTTGGACGGTGTCCAGTGCGGAGGCAGTGTGTTCCAAATTTCTGTTGGGCTTTGGTTACACAACCACCCAATGTTAGTTAACCCTGTGGGGTCATTCAGAGGTGTTTTCCCAGAGTTCTGGGTTCCTGTCCCCCGAGGGCCTGAAAACATGTTGGGGTATAGCAGTGCCCCCCCCGAATGCAGGCAGCAATAGCTTTTAAAATGTAGGTGTCTTGGCGTTTAGCCATTAGAATAGCTTTTAAAATGTAGGTGTCTTGGCATTTAGCCATGCGTGCCATGAGGTGGCGTGCCTCAGTTTCCCCTCCCACATAGTAGTGTCGGTTTGTTATATTTGTGCTCTAGGCCTGTGTGCAAGTCTTAGCTTAGACGCTGCGTGTGCTCATGGGACTCCTTTGCTCCTGCCCCCAGCATGTACAAAGTTTTCTCCTGAAATCATGTGTGTTACACAATTTAAAGGGGTTTACCATCCGTATGAATTCCTTTGTGTTGATCCATAGATGTGCGAAAAGGCAGAAGGGCACCTGCGACCCCTCGGCAGAGTGGCATTTCCAAGTAGGATCACCATACCACACCCTCAGGTTACACCTTTGGGGTTGTGTGGTATCTGGCGCCCCTGCACGTACCAACATGTGTAATAAGCCATCGGCTTTCCTTTTTCCTCTGGAAAAGTTTCCATGCTAGGAGGAGGCAGGAGTTTGCCATGGAGATGCACCTCCCCCGCAGAAGAGAGTC